AATAATTGTTAATGCTTTGAAATTAGGACATTCAGCTTAGAAAATTTAACACTACCAAAACACTTTTATGCTGGAACTAGGTACTTGAAAATCTAGGGTTTCGATCTATAATTCATAGTAATACATGTTCAATTTATTTACATAACAGGTTTTAAACAAAGATTGGTACAGAATAGCATGAATTAATTTTATCTTACTAGATTCTCATCAACTGCTTACAACCTATTCAATATTTTAAAATCAAAGTAACCATAGAAATCAACATACGTATGAATATGAAGGTGATAAAAAAGGGAGTTTACCACACATACGTGACAATTTTGATTTTAAAATATCAAATAGGTTGTAAGCAGTTGATGAGAATCTAGCAAAATAATTTAATGAATTAATATTATTCTGCACTAATCTTTATTTTGCTCTCTTCAAGATGATAAAGAGATTTACGTGTATGATATAACATGTTTGCTATATATTATCGTCCTATTTTTATTTTTTTCTTTTATCTGTTCATTTAAGCAACTGATCAAGTATTATCTGCGTATATAACAAGTTTTTCTCATCTTATTAAGAAAAATAATAAAGAGAATGACTACGAAACTTTGTAAAGAAATGACACTTAATCAGTACACAGAGAATCATGAACTCTATTCAAATCCCTATCAACATAATTCAACAGTAAATAATTCATACAATTCAGAAATCTATAGTAAAGTAGATCATGAACGAAATGTACTTCACCCTCATCTTCATGCACCATTATCCTATGTAGTTCATAATCCATATGCGATTAGATTGAAACGCAGTTGTCACAATACAAAATGTCGTTATTGTTTTCCAAATGCTTCTAATATTAATTCATTTGATTTGGAAAGTCATTCATCATCTAGTGAATCAGCTTCACAGATAATGACTAGAGGTGCTTTAAATAATCATAGTAATTATAAGAAATTTCTCAGTTTAAACAACAGACCAACGTGTATAATACATGAAGAAATTACAGTAGATGACAATCAACAAGATGTGATAAACGGAGGACAAATGAAGATAAGACAAGAGGATGAAATTCCAGTGTTTAAAGAAGTTCGAATTAGTACACCATTAGCGAATCACACTGCATTACCGAATAGAATCAATAATTATATGCCTAATTTGATGAAAAATAATTACCATCTAGAAGATCATCAAGAAGTATACTGGTCGCAGCAAGAAACTCCATTTACAGTCTACAGTAATGCCAGTATAAATAATAATAGTAATCGTAATAGTATTGTGGTTACAGGTAGACAAGCTGATCTATCCAATCAAAACAACCGTGAGTTGGACTTTTTCGAGTATATATTTTAGATATTTGTTTAAGAGATCCTCACTGAAAAGATTGAACAATTAATCTAATTCTCGACTTGATCTGCAATGATGACGAAATTTACAGGCACTACTTCAATTGACAAACCTATTAAAGTTCATTATGATTCTTCAACAAATTTTCTAGCGGACTTCTACGTATTAGTTTGTGATTGTATCATTCTCCGTTCTACTTCATCATTCAAGTTGATCAATAATTCTGAATGTCAATATCTCACTAAATGGGATCATCAGCAAAGTTAATATTGTCACTTGTATTATCAAGATAGATTAGTCATTCATTTGTCTGGGAGAAGAAATAAAATCAACGAAGCAACTATGACCAGCTTAATGTCTTTAAAAGTGTGGACAGGAAAAGAAGAATAATGAAGAATTCTTCTCACTTTCAACTCAATGCATACTTTATGCCACTTACTGTCTAATCCTTTGTTTGCATTTAAAATTCTCTTCACTATTTTCCTTTATTCAAACTTGTGTTAATAATCTTAAAGCTTTTTTATGGAATTCATTCAGCACATAGTCATAAAATTGAAATGATTAAAAACACCATTGAATACTTAGCTCAGTGGTCTAGAGGTTAAACGTTCGCACGTGAGACCGAAGTTCCTGGGTTCGAGTCCCTCGTGTGGGGTCGCAGATGTATACTGATGATAAGTACCATATTAGGATGAAATGGCCAACCACTGTTTCCAAGTTCTTAATAGTTGTCTAGCTAAGATCGACTCATTAATTCAACTGAAATAACAAAATAAACATATGTTTATCGTATTCATTCACATAAATAATGAAATATTAGATTGTTACACAGTTGATGAAGAATTTCAATACTCAGTTTACATAAATTTTTATATAGATTTAGAAAAAAAAATAAAATGGTTCAGTGGTTAATATTACGTTAAAATTTAATTGTTAAACCTGAACATTAAGCAATCCTAACCTTAAGCATCCTCAATGTTTTAATATATTCGAGCTTTGAATTGATTACAGTAATATTTAGAATTTTGAGGTCAGAATTCTTTTAGAAAATATACCGACATTAGGATAGAATCGGGTATACCAACAACTACAAACAATCCATAAATTTTCTAATTCTGCTACTCTGACTCCAACTATTTGATTATTTATTTATTTATTTCAAGTTTTGGCAATTAAAAAGTAGGGTAATATTGTTGTATAGCCAAAAATCGTATACTCAAAGATAGATAGACCATATAGTCGATTAATGGACGAACAAGAATAGCGTTTGCTTATAATCCACTTCAATTATAATGAAGCCAGGATTACATCTTGCTCTACAAAAAAATGTAGCAAAAAACTACCACAGGATCGTTATTGGTTTTCATTTCAAGATACCTTGTAATGAGTCGAGCTATTGAATCGCACAGTTTTTAGGATTCCATTCAGTTTAGGAAGAACCAACAACTACAGCTTCAATACAACTATCTTTTAATTCACAGTACAATATCATATGATGATCATCTCTCTGCCTTTTCACCTAGCCTCAGAGTTTACAAATGCTGTATTAAACATCTAGGGTGACGATACAAAGCAAGTATTTCAAGATGGTAACACCTACTTAATTACCATGATAAAGTCCTGAACTTTATCATCACTTACATGTTGCTTCCATAGAATCTGGGAAATCCTTTAAAACTAATGTCTTCCAATGTCTGTAACCTTTTCCAACTTGTTTAACGAATTCAAGAATACTGACTATTCTATGATATAACATGAAGTCAGATATTGGCAACGTTAATTACATATTTCATTAATTTCTTCAACAGTAGTGGTAACAGTAGTAGTAAAGTCGTGAACAAATACATAATATTTCTTTTTGAATTAAATAGTTTACAAAATGGATTGAAATCAAGCAGAGATCTATTGAGAATCAAACAGTACAATACTTTGTTTCTGTATTTGTCAGTAACGTTCACTTTTAACCCCAAGTTGAATCGAAACTAATTACATTCCAACCCCTGAGTGAATACATCAGTGTTATCAATTATGTTTACTTACATCAATAATTTCATGTTATAGGGAAGATTACCTTAAGTTTATACAGTCCATTGTATAAACTATTATTTTCGTCGTTGTATAAGTACTATCTCATTCACGTGAACATATAAATCAATTATCTATTTAGCTAACAGAGTCATACAAAATGAATCAATTGCAACCCCATCAAATACAACGGAAACTTCAATGACGACTAATGTTTCAATAGAGAATGAAATGGTATCTAAGACCACAACCAATAATCTATATAAAAAAGAACGAAACACATTTTTACAGAAAATATTTAAAAGACCACAATCAACGATTAGTGAAGAAAATAACAATCTGAGATTACGTTTAACCTCCTTAACAAATAGTCCAGAAAATAATCAATCAATTCCATGCACTGAAATAACAACTACACCATATGCTCTAAATATGCATGATTTACAGAAACATAATAATCACAATCATGATCCGAATCGTGATGATTCATCTGTTATTTTTGGTATGAGTTCAGTGTATCAATTAAAAAATCAATCAAATTATTTAAATCTACCAGGTCGGTCAATATGTGTAGAATTTTAATGGTGCAAAATTTTACATCATAATGCTTTATGTAAAATTGCAAATGTGAAACAACAACAAGGTGTACTCTCACTCACATACAAACATATTATATTTTTAAAATAATAAATGCATCAGTTAGGTTTTTTTTCTGACAACAAGCAAACTATCATACCTGATTTGAGAGACAGGCTAACATTATACTAGTGTGCTTTTTTTAAAAGAAATAATTTCCTAACTTATATGTGTGTTGTCATGTGGTGGTAGCTAACCTTTAATATATATATATATATATATATATATATATATATATATATATATATATATATATATATATATATATATATATATATATATATATATATATATATATATATATTGGAGAATTCTCTCACAAATAGAATAGAAACAAACTATCTCCAACCTGTTTAATCAATACTACATGTATAAATTGTTGTATTGAATTCTTTTGTTTCAATCTCACATAAATAATCATGCCTGATCCGACTATCATAAGAGATCGACTGAAAAAATACCTAAGAATTAATAAATTCATTGAAGTTTATCTATTGTTGTGTTAATCACCACCATGGTTATTACTTTCATGATTCTAAACAAAGTTGTGCATGTCATTCCACTAATCCATTTCGTCATCTCTGGGTAATGACTATTGATGTCTCATCAGTATTATTTTTTTTCATAATTGGTTAGGACGTTCATCTGTTTCATCCTCCGTGTGTTTTTTTATACAGATTTTGTCATGATTATATTAGTACCATGGCAATAAAAGTCACACCATCATAACTACCGCATACGATAATAATAATTATTATTATGTTTTCACCACAAAATTTACCAATATATGTTGAAATTATCAAATTAATAGATTTTAATTTTTTTCTTTCTTTTCACTACTCAACTGGTTTGTATATGCATGTGTGTGTATGTGTGCGTATGTTGTATTGTGCGTGTTTGTACTGTTTGTATGTACCAATGCTTACCTGTCTTTGATTGTATGCATGCATAAATATTTGTGTTCTGGCAATTGTATGATGTGTGTTATCCAAATATTCTAGCTATTTACAAATCACAAATTATTTCAAACGATGGAAATTTCTCAGCTCCTAAACGTACAATGAGTCATACAAATGTTTATGGTCCACGATCATGGAATTTACGATCATATCAAGGATCTGGTGAGTTTTTATTCAAACAATAAATTTATAATATACTACAATCTCCACAAAAAAACCCTTTCTGATAATAATGATCATGTGCTCACTAGTGACTGATTTCAAGAAGTATTTCCTGGAGTTTTAGTGAGAAGCCGTGACCAGTGGAGTTCAACTGGGTCTGTTGTGAGACAGTAACTCACTGAAGACAATGGTGGACGGGGAGCAATTTCATGGATTGGTTGAAGTTAGACATTAACACCGTTGGGTGCCGGCCAATTGTCAAAAACCCATTAATATTATATAATTACCAAAATGATTACATATTTTCATCAAAAGCGTACTAAGGATGAACAGTTTTATTATCCTTTACTCCTTATTCCTTAATTGTATGAACATGATCTAACTTAAAACCTAATTTAATAAAAAAGATAAATTATGGCCTGTACAGTTCAATTAGTTATATAAGGTGTGAGTTAGTCAGTACTGATGACATCGCATACAAGCTTTGTTGTGTCGTAAAAGTGACTGAGCTTTGAATTACTGACGATTGCATTCCAAACTAATAATCTAAAAATTATTTCTTTTTCCGAGACTTAGGATTTTTTTATTCGATCCCAGGCTCTATATACTGACTAAATGAAGCATTTCCTAAATCTCTCAAAAATTTTGAAGGTGCCCAAGTTGGCGTTATTCTTTAACTTCTAAGAAACCTCCATCGACATAATTTCACTGTTCAATTTTCCTTAAATACTAATTCACTATAGAAAATATTTTATTTTAAAATACTTAACTATTATTCATTTCTTTATACAACATTAAGATATGAAGTAGAATAAGGAGTAAAATGGACAATTTTATTAGTTATTCAAATAGTCTCAATAGTATCATTCAGCGTATTCCATTAAAACAAATCTACTATGTACTTCAGTTTATCGGGAAAATGTTTCAGAATTGTTTGTCAATTGTATTAATGAAATGATTAATTGAAAATTACCCGGGTTTTGATTAATTGCCTTAAAATACTTAAAATTAAATGTCGTCTTCAGATACCTACAAACTATCTAATGTCTAAATGATATTGAAAATGAGTAACGATCTGGATCATTCTGAGATATTTATTCCGTTTTCAAAAACAATCTTAATTCGAAATCTGTAAATCACCAATTCAAATACTGTTAAGGAATTTAGCAAATTAACTTAATAACATATATATAAGTAAAGAATACAATTTTTGCTAAACTGTTTGAAAATCTCTTTGTGTATTATAAACTTTATTTCAGAGTCTGATTTAGCATATAAACGTGAAATGTTATCATCATCATCTTCACGTTTGGCACGTAGTGGTTATTCAGCCAGACGAGAACGTTTGAAACAAGAACGTGAACAAGAATTATTAAGGCAGACAAGATTAAGACAAATGGCTGCTTCATCAACTGGGCTACATGATCACCGTCATTATCAACAACCGAATGTCCAACAACAACATTACCGTTCAACTTCAGCAGTAAATGTAAGTTAAAACAGGTTGATGGATGTTTCACAGATATAATGAAAAGCATCTATTTTCTGTAACCACGATGTACACTATGAACTATGAAGTATTTTTCCATTTAGGTTTGCTTTATCAAAATCCTTACACATAAGCTACCAATATGATGCATGAGAAGTATTTCTTTATAAAAGGCTTCATTATTAAGTATCAATCAAACCGTCATTGTCTAAAATCTATCCAGTCAACTTCCTTTCATTTGTGTTTATTCACCTTCTTGGTGAAGAACATGTATGAATGAAATGGAATTCTTGCGGAATGTATTGAGACAAATACTAGCGACGACACAGAATGAAGATGATGTAATATAATCCAAACTGACTGAATTTGAAAATGTAAGATATTTGAATTTCAACTCAGTGAACCAAAAAGTACCTGACTCCTTACAAAGCTTGCATTTGAAGAGTTCGATCTCTAAAGAGGTATTGAGTGTACTTTTATGAAAGTTTTTGGCTAGATTATAAAAATGCTCATTGGTTTAAAATAATTGTATATTTAATTCTGTCCTATGATGAAAAGTCACTCCAACTTACAAACATTGTTTTTACTTTTCTCTAATAAGTATCACTCAACAGATCATTCAGAATAATGACAAAACTATAGATAACAAGAATTGAGATAGCTATAATAAGGTAAGAGGATTATACAATACATCATCTTTAGACAGAGATTGGATTTCTTAATGTCAACTCACATATCCTGGAATTCTAAATTCTACATCAGACGTAACGAGACAAACTGACAACTTATGCGATAATTTCAGAACTAGTGATCAACTTTATAGCAACTTATCATTCTGTAAAATGATACATATGTAGTTAGATAGTTCTAATCTAGAAAGGAATACATAAAATTCATGATAATAGTACATTATGAAGACAACTGTTTGAAATATAAAAAACATATAAAGAATTCAATGCAAAATTTAATCGATTCTGTAGTGAATTTATAAAGCAACAATAAAAGGTATATTTTTAACTGTCATAAAAATATTTAAGTGCAAGAATATAAATCAACTAAATAGTTATCTCAAATTGAAGAAACAACACCTCCAAAATCTTCTTACTGAATTACAACTATTCTTCATTATTGAATGGTTTTCGTCAGGGCTGTCCACTCTCTCCATTCTTGTTTAACTTTGTCGTTGTCGTGCTTTTAAGGATGACACTTTCCTCATCTAAATTTCCAGGAGTTGAACTTCTACCGGGAGATTCACTTGTTGACTTAGAGTATACCGATGACATAGTTCTATTTGGTGAAGACGCTGACAAAATGCAGTCTTCTGACCGCTATAAGCAACAATGCAAGCATGTTCGGGATGCGATTCTCACTCTTGAAATGGAAAATGTTGCTTTCGAATTGGGTTACATGGACACCTGAACCAATGATAGGGAGTGAAATAGTTTGGCGTGTCGACCGCTTCACTTATCTGGGGAGTCTCATCAACCCTTGTGGTCTGGTGTGTGACGAAACCTCAGTATGGATACAGAAGGTTCGATTAGCTTTTGTCAACTTGCGTCATTTATGGTGTAAGTGGGATATCCGTCTACCAATCAAAGGACGGGTTTACTGAGCAGCAGTTTGTTCTGTCTCACTTTATGGCAGTGAAACATGACCGGTAGGAGTAAAAGATATTCGTAGATTACTAGTATTCGATCATAGGTGTCTTCGAAGCATTGGTCGTATATCCTGGGACCACCGAGTAAGTAATGTGGTTATTAGGAAACGGGTACTAGGTAAGGATGGCAAGTCAACTGATGAAGTAGTGAAACTTCATCAGTTGAGATGGCTGGGACACGTGTTACGTATGCCCAACCACCGACTGCCCCGACGTGCGATGTTTCATGGTGTAGGATTAGGTTGGAAGAAAACTAGGGGCGGCTAGACCAAAACATGGCACAAACCCATGAATTCACTGACAGATGGACTGAGCCATGTTGGTAGGTGTAGATTACCTGTTTGGGATCCGCGAGACGATAGCAACCGACGGTTAGAGACCTTGAATGACATGGCTCAAAACCGTTTACGATGGCACAGGTGCGTCCACTGTTTGTGTTCACCCAAAGTTTAATCTTCTGAATTCTTGATGTCCCTTTTTTTCTCTTTCCAAATTTATTTCATTGGATTATACTCCTTGAATAACATCTTCAAAGCCTAATTATTCCGATTATTGTTTATACTTTTACTACCTCTACCACAATGCGATTTGGATCGACAATTGTATCTCTGTGCAAATGTATGGCAACTCGGACTGATGTACGTACGTACGAAGTTCTACGTTGTTACTGACTGACTTCATTATTGAAAACTAAAATATTATTCATAAATATTAGACATTTCAGTAATTATCGGTGTAGATAATGGAATGAATTTAGTGAAAAATAATGAATTATAGAAACTGAAATATTCATTGATAATTTGATGTTTACTGTCAAGTATACTGTAGCCTAACTTATTACTTAAAAATAACTTCAATATTGAAATGGATATTGATTCCTCGGAACATCTTCAAAAACTATAAATAAACTGTTATTCACTCTATACATCTTCTGCTTTTTAATTATCCCAGATGTATCTATGAATTATTAGATGTAGTTGAAGTTAACGAGAGTAAATACTTTATGTTAAATGTTAACTATGTAATCAAATATGTTACTTGATGATTGAAAAGTTAATTTCATATTTAAATAAATTCTGAATTGTGACAAGTTCATCTGTCATCCAACCATTTTTTTTTCTGCATTATCATTCCACATAAAATTTAATCTTGAAAAGATAAATTTCATTTTACACATATTTATTCATACTTCCTTTGTTTTGTGTTGTAAAGGTGATATGTAGCAGATATGGAACAAGGTGAATTTAAGTGAATTAATCTTAATTTATAAACGCTGTCTTTATTTAATTATTAAGTCGAATTTTGGAAAAAGTACTAATTTTCCTAAAATACCCATAATTTTATTCCTGATCAGATATCACAAACTTGATTATAATCGAATAGGTGAGAAATAAGGTAAAAGTATGGTGTAAAACCATACTTAAAACAACCACGACTAATATCCAGCTAGTTTCTGGCCAATCAAAAAAAGCCTTTTATCGATGGATAGTTTATAAAAAGAAAACAGTAATTATTGTAAACTATAAACGGATTTTACATAATTATTAAGGTCTGTCTGCCTGTAAATGCAAATAACAACGAAATGTAAATTTATAATAATGGATAAAGACTATATAGAGTCGTTACATTGTTCCAAGCTAGGGTTAAGTAATTAGGGTTGAGGTTTTCATCGAAACCTAACATAAGCTACAATGGAAAAACCTTCTGTAGCTACATGTATAAATGTATTTCGCTCCAAATATCTGATTAGGTTCATCCATCAATTCTACTACATGGTAGCCTCACAAGGTGAGGGGTTTTTTCCAAATGAAGGGTTTAAGGTTAGGATTTAGTGATACTTTCGATTTGCCTATTATATACAATCTACAAAAACAGAATCCAGCTTTTAATTCTTCAATCCTTTTAATTCTTCTTTGATTCTTTATTCATGTTTCCTTCACAATAGGAAAGGAATAATTTTTCTGTGATTTTGAACAGTATACAAGGGTATTTCTACTGCTCGTAATACGTAACACTTATATTTTGTTTAAGAACATGAAGGTTGTAGTCTCGATTTTTATTGGCTTGTCCCTAAAGCATACTTTTACCGATCATAATACTAAGTATTATACTATCTACAGGTGTTTAAGACAATTTATCTTCTCTTAACTTGTCAAAAACTGTTTGATTTATAGAGATTTGTGATGATTGTAGTAATTTTGGTGGTTGAATTCATGAGTTAACCTATGCTAGATCACCATTGAAAATCTGGAAGCACTAGACGGCATTTTCGTCTTAGCATGGGGTTCCTCAGTAGTGCGCATCCCAAATATTAAAATTATAGAATCGAAACATATCTTATTATGATAATAATAAGCTTTTCTCTTTGTTCTAATCATTAAAAAAATAATGCTAATTAATTAATAGAAGTTAGTAATTTTTCAACTTCAGTATTAGAAATCATGAGTCAATCGAAGCTATATCACCAGTGGAGTTCATCCGAGTCAGTTGTGAGATGGTAACTCACTAATGACAATGGTAAACGTGTCGCTCAATTTCATGGATTAGTTGAAGTTAGACACTAACACCATTGGGTGCCGGCTCAGTGGTCTAATGGTTAAGCGCTCACGCGCGAGACTGATAGGTCCTGGGTTCGAACCCCGCGTGGCGAGGTCGTGGATGCGCAATGCCAAAGAGTCGCACAATAGGACAAAACGGCCGTCCAGTGCTTCCAGGTTTTTCATTGTGATCTAGCTTTAGTTGACTCATGATCTCAACTATTGAAATTACTACAGTCTCCACAAAACTCCTTTTGATACTAATTTTTCAACTATCTCAATATAGATATTTATGTAGATCAAATCTTCATGAAGTTGTACTTCATTGATAATTTAAATGTAATAATATAAAATTTGAGTTACACTTGATTATGTAATCAAATTATTTCTGCCAATCTGTCACAATATTCACATTCAAAATGTTTTTCCAAACAAAATATAAGACGTATTCCTTAAATTAATTATCTGTCTATCTAATAAGCACATTTACATTAAATATGGTAATTAAAAGATTCTAATAAATGAAATTTGTACATTATTTAAAAGAACTTATAGAAACATGTGATTGAATAAGCAGCTGAGAGTTAGTTTTTACAAAAAAAATAACCTAGATTTTAGTCAGTCTTGATTTTATTAACTGTGGGATGTAAAATATTATTTTATAGACTATAAATAGTAATAATAATAATCATTGCTACATTCGTATCCTGTAATGCCCTTGGATAAACACATTTAAATACTAGTTATAAATTAGTTGTTTAGTATTATAATAAAAAAACACTATTGATTATTATAGTGGAAATTGATAAGCATAAGTGAGCCCCGTTAAAGAAATTAAATACAATAAAATCAGCTGTTCTCTTTTTAAACTAACCTCATATATATCCTTGAATTACTAATAATTAAATGTGATTTTCATTGATTAGCTAATAGTAACTTACATTAAATTGTATAACCATTTGTACTCCCTTAATATTATTAATCAAATGATAGCTGAACCGCTGATTAAATAAAACGACTTGACATCATAAATAGAGATAGGTAATGGCTAGCAGTAAAATCTGGGACGCAATTTTCTTCCTATTTGGGGACTCCTCAGTTGAATTTACATGCATCTCAGAGTTGATATCTTCTATGATTTCTTCAGTCCTGTTGTCATTTCGATTGCTCTCTCTTTTCCTTTCTCTTTTTATTCTAATCTTCTGACGGTATGCATTCCACTTTGAATCCCTGTTATATACTACTTATGTCTGTCCATATAAACGGCGCACACCATAGTACTAGACATTGCAATATCATATCTTATAATTATCAATTTGTCAACAAAAGTCAGAACAAAAAAATTAGAAATAGATTGAGAACCCTGCCAAAAAACACTTTTTGATAGTTTAGTTAGCATTAGCATACATAGAAAGAGTGTAGCTTTTTTAGTTAACTTGTAAAATAAAATAAACTGTATACATCGATACTCAATAAATTGAGTGAATATCCTAATTGAAATGAGTATCATGTAGTTTATAGGCTGAAAGTTCAACTAAATTTACCGTTTTATAAAAACATGTTAGATTGAAGTTATATTAAAGGTCACACTCCAATATAGCAAAGAGATATAACTTTAAGATGAGACTTAATGAATCATCATTAGAGTTTTCTAGCTTCATTTAGTAATAGAATCACTCTCTAGCAACCTAAATTTACTTTTATGTTGTCTCATTTACGATATAATTATTTTGAATTAATATTTAGGAAATCGGTCGAAAGGAGATAACTCAAAAGGTATGTTAGTATCAAGAATGCTTGTGACTATAAGACTGACAAAGTTTCATGATTTTCAGCGATTATCATTTTGTCAAATGAAAACTTTTTATACATGCATGTATGTTCAATTGATTATTTCTTCAGTTTTATCATTGTTCTGCTACTTACTATCCTGCTTTTTATTCTATGGTTAACTGAAATGCCAATTTCTAATAAATAATTTGCCATACATTAAATATTATTTTCAGTACATTTTTATGCACAAATGTTGAATTTTTATAGAGATCTATGGGAAATACCGAAGCTTTTGAAGAATTCGAAACAATTACACTACAACCAATAGGTCGAGGTGTACAAGATCTTGATTCACATGTCGGATCAATGACAACACTGGCACGAGGAGGTGGTGCTTCGTCTATGATTGAAGGTAAAACTTGTATATTATATGTATTTTATATAATATGGCGTATGTTTGTATAATACAAATAGATATGCAAATGGATGTATTTTGATCACACTGAGAAAAATTCTAACAAATCACTGAAGTAATATGATGTCATCCTTTATAAAAGAAATGTTCTGATCAAAATGACTTCAAATTAACTTTAAGTTATCGATCTATTATTCTAGTTGTTTGGCTATGAAACTTGGAACTTGAACAGATGGGTAATCATTTCATATCATTTCCATAGTAAGGTTTTTGCATCAACTTCTTTTAATTAAAGATTAGACTCTTATGTGTAGACAATATAATACCATCCAAAATGAATAGGTTAAGTTGACTTGTGAAGCACGCAGACAAATTCATCTCTAAATTCAATGCTTAACTGACTGAAATGTTTTCTCTCTTCATGTCACAGGTTTTAATCATACATTTCTATTAAGAACAACTTAATGCACACGTATTAGTATAGTCCCAACTACATCAAATTCAAAAAACAACTGAGATGTTAAGTACTTGGAGGTAGTCCATTGTTAACATCGGAATCAAATTTTTGGTTAGTTATCACTTGTCAAAAAGGCATATATGTAATCATTAAGGAACTGATACTTTTTGTGGGAATCAAAACCATGTCACTCGACTCCACTATTTAAGACGTTACCACTGAGCTATTCCAGTCGCCACTAAACTTCTGTATGAGATAATTTGTAAATATTACTTAACCGATACGATTCACAAACTGAAATAATACAGAAACTAGAACAATACCTGAAATGATAAATTAAATCACTTAGAAGATTATAAAAAGCTATAATTGAATACCGAGACGTTGATTTAAGTTTGGCAATGATTAATTATATATTCATAATGTAATAGTTTTTTCAAAGATATTTATATATACATCAATACAAAAAATAATTTGCATTTATATTGACTTTATTGTCTTCTATCTAGAACTATAAATATAAACCATGTGATGATCACTTTTACGGAATGAAACTTAACACTGATCGTATTATCTAGTAATGGAATTTCAGATTTATATTATGTTTCATTTTACAAATAACATTCATGAAACAATAATTAAGGATAGATACTTAACTAAGTATGTCTATCTATACTCAAAGGATAATTAAGCTATAAATTGTAGCATCATCATCTTTATAGAAATTGTCTAGAAATATGTTCACTTCTGTTACTAACTTTTAACAATTATATATTTTTTATTCATTAAGTTGTCAAACCTTACAATTATTCCTTAATGATATTTTAAACTCATGGATAATGATTCATTCTGAAAAATGTTATCCAGTTAGACAAATAATTGGTACTCATAGAAAGAGAAAGAAATAACAATGACATTTTAATTATTTTATGTAATTAATACTTGGATTATCATATTCATTTCAACATTAGACCATTCGAAAGTTATTTTCCAACTATTGTAACTTTAAGGCCGGCTTATTATCACATGATTAATTCACCAATCGAAATACGATTTATTCAATCTTAGTACTGTGCCAAACCAATGACATTTGACCGGTATGAGCAGCCTAGCTTCTTTATTGATCCCTTGTTCACCTAGCCTGTCCAGTTGAGTCCAGAACACCAATAACAGCTTCTACTATGCGAATCGTTTATTTCAAGTATACTTGGTTTATACACCAGCCAAACAGACCACATCACACCATAAAATAGGAAATAACATTTATACAAGATCAAACGAAAGTGTGGCTGTGAACGTGGGAGACTGTAATCAATAAACTGAACATGAGAACAGTAAATGGTATATTAGTAATCTTTAAGTCAAAATGAAGCTTATAATAAGGGGAATATTGATATACATAATCTAGTTACTGAATAGTTATACAATAAGAATACGTAGATAATATTAGTCTACTAATGGTTCTCAGAAGTTACTCTTAATTTAATCTTCGCTAGGATATAGCACTAACTTGATATGATTTTTCTACTTAGTGTCTAAAGGAAAAGTGTAAATTATTGAATTATGTGCAAACAATAACTATCTATATTATATTGATAATATTACTCGTGTTTTTAGTTAACAATCATGTTTTCACATTGTTGATTCTCAATCCCATTTTATTTAAGTATAATTACTATAAAGAAAATTAATTAATTAATTACTTACGACTGTTACTCCTAACGGAGCATAGGCCGCTGACCAGCATTCTCCAACCCACTCTGTCCTGGGCCTTCTTTTCTAGTTCCATCCAATTCTTGTTCATTTTTCTCATGTCTATCTCCATTTCCCGGTGTAATGTGTTCTTTGGTCCTTCTCTCCTCCCTCGGCCGTGAGGATTTCATCTGAGTGCTTGTCTTGTGACGCAGTTCGGTGCTTTCCCCACTGTGTGTCCCATCCATTTCCAGCTCCTCTTTCTGATTTATTCCTTCGCTGGCATCTGGTTTATTCTATCCCATAGTAGGTTGTTGCTAATAGTGTCGGGCCAACGGATCCGACGTATTTTGCGTAGACAACTGTTAACAAACGCCTGTATCTTCTGGATGATGGCTTTCGTAGTTTTCCAGGTTTTCGCCCCATATAGTAGAACTGTCTTCACATTTGTATTGAAAATTGTGACTTAGGTGTTGGTTGCCAATTGTTTTGAGTCCCAGATGTTATTCAGTTGTAAATATGCTGCTCTTGCTTTTCAAATCCGCGCTTTCACATCTGCATCAGATCCACCGTGTTCATCGATGATTAACAGTTTTAAATTGGAAAGTTTATTTGATCATACATACACATCTTCTCAATAGAAATATCCTATTGAATTTACACTTTAAAAATATATTTCAGTAGTATGTGAGTATATTGTTGCTAACCATTGATCAAAACGATGTCAAAAATTAGGATTATATTTTTCATTTATAAATGTCCTGTCAATCTATTGATATTAACTAATCAATAATATAATGCATATAGAAATATAAATAAATTACTTAGTTACATAATCGCCTTTTCCTGACAGTTGTTATATCCAGTGAATTATTTAGAATTCATTACAAATTGTTAGGATAATTTTGTTGTAAATCTTTCGATCAAATCTCATTATTACATATGAATTCTATTTCTATACTTATCTATGTATACTTAACCAGTTATACAAAGTTTTAATAAGACTTTATCATAAAAAGAACTTGACAGATCAGCATTATTCTTGTGTTAACCACTTTTCATAAAGAATTATAACTGTGCTAACAAACTTCATAATAAAACCTATATGTTTTATATTATTATTGACTCTATACAATCAAGAACATTCATTACTACCGTGTTATAGATTACAGTTAAGCTAGAATATCTACATGTCATTCGTTAGATTACTATGTACTACATATAATTTCACTGATAAACTTTATAGGTAAGTAAGTAATGAAAATATGTTCGTCTTTTAGGCAAACTAAATAATTTCCTTTTTATCAGCATAGGGGTTGTGGAGGTTATTATGTTTTTGATTGAGATCATAAACCGATTGATGTTAGACTACCGTTGAAAACCTGGAAGCATTGGACGGCCGTTTCGTCCTATTGTAGGACTCAGCAGTGCGCCTCCACGATCCCGCTCGCGGGATTCGAACCCAGGGCCTTCAGTCTCTTGCGCGAACGCTTAACCTACTGGATCACTGAGCTAGCATTCAATGGTGTTAGTGTCTAACATCAACCAATCCACGAAATTCCGCGATCATCTTCCATTGAACTGACTTAGATACCTGTCTCTACCTGACACGGATTAGCTCCACTGATCACGGCTTCTCACTAGAACTCCGAGAGTTCCCTTACGAAGCTAGTCACTAGTGAGCACATGATAATTATCAGTAGAGGGGTCGTGGAGATTATTAAGTTTTTGATTGAGATCATGAATCGATTATTTCTAAAACACCTTTGACTGATAAACTGATAAATGTTAAATAGTGACAAATCAGAATGAGATAAACAAAATATAAATTGAGATAAAGCTTTATTAATATGTCTAAAGTGTATTTAGTTATTTTAAAGTTTTAGAAGAAAAAAGACAACCATTAGATTATAACAATCTTACTAAACTTGTAACCAGGTGGCTTAAAAATTAACTTGAATATTGACTTGCAGATAACTAGACCAATATTTTACTTATGTAAAAATTCAATCAAATTTATCGGTTCTATTATCTCTTATGATACAAAATAAGGATCATAAAATGTATGTACTTCATTAGGTGGTTACTGAAGATGACAATCATTTCTAGCTCAACAAAAAATACTATGATAAGTGGATATCTACTTGAAAAATTTATATTTTTCAAGTTTTTTTCTAGTTAAAGATAGTATAATCACTTTTGGCCACTTAATATTCTGTGATGTTTATTCAAGAATTAGACGGTATAGTAATCTCCATAAATAAAAATATTTATAGAAATTCAGTAGTATATTTAAGTAACAAATAAAGTGAATTGTCCTACTATTCTTCTTCAGAAGAAAATCTTTTATATATTTCAGGTAAGAAAGATTTATAAGACACAGAGAACATTACAAAATAACAATAAATAAAACAAACGTTTTCAGTTTACCATTATAATCATCGAGTATGTGTATTTTTATTTCTGGTTAGCGTTTTTTTAGCGAGTTAGTTTTATACGGGATGGGGTTGCTAATCCCATGCCCAACCCTCCTCTTTTATCCGGGCTTGGAACTGGTACTAGCCCTAGAGGGGCTCCAGGCGGAGCTTCGTGTATTTAGTTAAATAATTGATTTTCTTGCCAGTAATTCATGACCGTTTTTCATAACCTGTTGTATTATTACACTGTCTCATAGTTTAGAAAAAAATCATATTTTATGTTCCTTTATTATAAGCTCCTACTTCAAATTCTTAAGTAAGGTGAATGACCATGAAACAGTTTATTTGTTCCATCATGCGACTTTTTAGTAGTGTATACAAATGCATTTTTTATAAGATTAATTGAATAAACTAATAGTACTTAATGTTAACAGTTTATTCATCTTAGCAACTAAATTAAAGGTTTTCTGATAGCATGTATTCTGAATACGTTGAGCAACGTGTAAAGGGACCAGGATACATGAAATTATCAGAACAAAAATATGCGCATAACAAGCAGTATAATAAGAATAACAATATGACTGCTTCCTTGATTCAAATTTTATCAGTATTTTCACCTTCATACCAATAAAAGCTAATAATAGTTTGGTTTTTTGTATTCTCTGAGTTCTGAGTTTATAGATAAAATTATCAGGACAGCTTCATTCAACGATTGTGGTCTAGCTAATTACCCAGCTCAATTTCATATAAAGTAGACGCTGATAATGCCGTTCAGAGACATAACAAACGTTTCATATTATTAGCATTCAGATCAAAGAAGTCAACATAACCAGAACGATCCGCCCGAGATACAGATCTTCTCCATCATTATCATAAGATAATATAATTCTTACTTAGTTCACTCCATTATTCCTACAACTTTATTGTCACTTAATATATAGAAGTATAGTAACATTGTTACTTTGAAGTAGAAAATAATAACTATTTGTGTTACGTAGAAGCCAATACAAATATTAGATCCTACTGCCTGTTATTCAACATTTAAAAGAATTTATTCAAATATCTAACATACTATCTCTAAAGTTTTAACATAGAAAATTACTTATTATGGCCACGAACCTATCTAAATTAAATGACCATTGTAAACCTGTAAGTGTTGGACGGCTGTTTTTTCTTAGTACGGCACTCCGACACGGAAGATCAAACCCAGAATCCTTGGTATGCATGTGGATGCTTAACTCCTAGACCGGGATCCAGTGATGTAAAAGTCTATAGCCAATTGATGCGCTATATTACGGAACCACCTCTCATTGTCTTTGGTGAGCATCTTCCTCAACCTTGTTGTCAGGTATCATAGATGCGCTCTTCTAAGGAGCCGCATAGTTGGACGAAACATCATCCAGTGCACCTACGTTTTCAGTTGTTGCCCAATTTAGATAAACGATCTCCACAACCCCCCCCCCCATACTGTGAAAAGTATCTCACAAATTATAACTAAGCAATTTATTTATAAGAAATGTGAAATAAATTATTTATTTATAATTATTTCCGTTAATAATTTCTGTAATTATTTCCTTTTTCTTTCTTACTTCCATTCTCTGCATGCTAATCATGATTCAACAACATATGTTCACCATGTTTGTATGCAAATTATATTGCACTCACTGTGTTTTTTGATGTTTATTTATATATTTATTTATTTTACCATATATGTTGTGCTAAATTTTAATAAAACAACAATTTATACTTCCTAACAAAGTTCATAAGCATACATTTCGAACTCCAAGAATGTATTCACCAACTTCGTATCATTTCAATCGTGCTCATAGTACAACACCAACTCGTTATAGCAGACCTACTAAAGGGTTTTCCAACGGTTTATATAAAAGTCACTCTGCTTATAGTGGTTCAGTTGAAACATGTCCTATGTTTAAATCTCATACACCTGATCCAGGACGCGATATTACTGGTTCTCCTTTGTGGACAGCACTGCCAAGAAATTCAAGTACAACACCAACCACTTGTAAAACATGGAGAAGTGAAAGAAATATAACTACTACACCATTAGGACAAATTACTTATGAAGATATAATGCCAAATACACAAATGGCAAAAATTCAAGTATTAGAATCAAGTGAATTACCAACAACATTGTTTCCACATTCTAGAAAATCTACCAGTCTACAGCCAAACGAAGTTGTAAAAAAAGATATAAGAGTGTTTGAATCACCATCAGACAATGCAATATTGAATAATCATTTAGATATCCATGAATCAGAAATGACTAATTTGAAAAGAGTTGTCTCTTTAAGAAAACCACCTGAACGTTCTAGATTATGGGCTCTTCCTGATAATATGAAAATTGTACGTCCATCAGATGGTTTTATGGTTGATTCATGTTATCCGAATGATGTAGATATTGATGAAAATGAGGACTTGATTAATCATCAATTCAATCTACCGGAACCTGGAAAAACTACATTGAAAACGGAAATAAATGGTTGGTTTTTCAGTGAACACCCTTAATATTTGCATATATTAATTATACAATAACAGCAGTAGTTACTTTCCATGTTTGCATACTCACCAAATTATCTACATGTAAATTTAAATCCAGGCTAATGTGTGGCAACAACCTCCGGTTAAGTTATGCAAAACAATTTAAGTTTTAGTGATTAATACATGACAAGTACATCGATTTGATGCATCATTGTTAAAAATGCTTTTTGTGTACTACAAATATATATAACTTTTGCACATGAATATACATTTCAGTTGAATTTAAAGCTACACTGGAAGGATTTAATCTTAATTAAGTTGACATTAGAATAAACTGATCATCTTTTTTAATCATCAGTTCAAGTTTTAATGGCGGTAAAATAGTTTCGGTGATTTTTCTCTTAATCTTTTTGTTTATTTTAAAATATATTCAAATTGCGTTGTACGGAATCTTTTAACAATGTTTTAACATTCAAACGGTTAATCTAGTACCTAAAACGGAATCAACTTTTTTTTTACAGTGGAATTGCTTGTTCTAGTTGCTGGTTGATGGACTAAGTCTATTTTAATATACTTGTATATTTTCAATGAATTTGAACACGACATTTTTGGTAGAGTTTTGTTCTGTGAGCTAGATGGTTTGATCATTGAGCTTTCTGAACGACATTATCAGCACAACTTCTACTTGATAATGCAAATGCTCCACAACCAAACCATCCAGCTGACAGAACAAAACTTAACCAAAATCATTCACCTGAGCTGCAAATCTTCTCCATCATCTTAATACTAAGTTTATCTGTTGTATTGATATTTATTTCAAGTTTTCTGGAATTTTTATATTTGTATGCATGAATCTATCTGTACTTCTTCATGTATTATGTTAACACGTGGTAAAAAGCCTAAATGTCATTTTTTATAGACATTTACAATATTAGAGATTAGACGTTTCATTTGAAACTGTATTGTTAATAATTAAGTACTTGAAGTATTCAATCTACAACATGAATTTCCCAGCTTAAAACAATTGGTTGATTACATACTTCACTAATTTTAAAATTATAATCAGAGAGAGGTTTTTTGGATATTATAGTAATCTTGATGGTTGAATTCATGAGTCAATAGAAGCTAGACCATCATAGGGAACCTGTAGGTACTAGACGGCCGTTTCGTCCCAGTACGGAACTCCTCAGCAGTGCGCATCTTCGAACCTTCATTTTCTATATTACTTTATTAATAATACAAGGATATAATATTTTTTGTTAATTTTAAAGCTAACGATTTTATCTAAAGTACATATCATAACAAGCAAAATATGGTGTGTGATTTGTTAGTTAATTTGTTTTTTTCTCTTTATATTGGTTCTTTATATTCATGTTCTAATGAACAATAAATTTAAATGTAAAACTTGATTAGCAATAGAATTTGAATTATGATTCTTAAAGATTATTATCAATGAACTTTTGTTGAATAGATCATTGTAACCTACAATTAACAATACGCTTATGTTTTGTATAATTTTCCCTTTTATATACATATATGCATCTAACATTATTACTAATTTCTTTTACACGATTAAATTAATCCTTTATAACCTTATTACTATTTCAATAAAACAAGTTAATTGAACGTGTTTTGTGTTTTCCTTTTCTCTTTCTCTCTCTCTCGCACACACACACAATGTTCATATGTTGACATGTTGTTGATCAAACTGATAATAATAATAATAATAATAATAATACTAAGGTTTAAGTCAAATTGATGATCATCAACCTCCACGAGCAAGTTCACGCACGAGTTTATCACGACAACCATTTGCTTCAACTCAGTAAGTTCATATTTGTACAATGAATATTGTTTGAATATATATATGTCTATATTGTTGATTGTTTTGAGATTAAAGAAAGTATTAGATATTTTATTTACTGTTTTATAAAAATGTAAATTGGAAATATTTCATATAATTCAATTATTCAGAAGAAAACATGATTCTTAGGGTAAAGGTTCATCTTCTCTGCGTCCTATTATGGGACTCCTGAGCAGTCCTCATTTACAGCCCCGCATGCGAGACTTGAACGCCGGACCTTTGGTCTCGCGTGCGAACGCTTAACTTCTAGACCACTGAGCTGGCATCCAACGGTGTTAACATCTAACTTCAACCAATCCATGATCTTGCTCAACCCTTATTACTTGATTAATGATGTGCAGCCAAAACTCATTTAATGGTATAACAACAAAATTTGAAAGACTTCCACTTGTTTGATGTATTGTACAAAGTTTTAATATCACAATATACTCAGTGTGACTTGTATCACAAACTTATAGAGTAATCATATTATTTTCCTTAGATGTCCTGCTTTGAGTATAATATTAATAAAAAGGTTAACTTAGACAGTAGGTCAGTTACACATTTACTATATTGTTTATTTTAATGGTGTAGCAGATTGGTTAAATTTTTTTAGTATTTTAACTGTGGACGTTATGCGAAATAGCATTATCTTCACAAATTTGTAGAACATTCAAATATATACTTAACCATACATCAAAAATATATGAACGTTTACTGAATATTGCCTACAGTGGCACTTTTGTAACTGAATTCAAGTCTATTAGTTCTAGATTCCAGTTAATGTTATTTATTTTCTAGAATAATCCTTTTGTATAATCATTTAAGATTGGCAAGATTATATGATCAAGTTTATTACAAAATGTTGTTAAGATAGCTGTATTTCGGACTCTCCAACTCAACTGATTAAACGCATAAAATATAGAGCTGGAAAAAAGTTCACGATTAATCATACAAATAAATACTAAGTAATTATTAGGATTAAATTGACTTATTTGAATATCACACGATTGTTTTGATTTATACCTATTCGAAGCAGTACAGCTTGGATAAGTACACTTCGTTCATGATCCAAATAACTATTATAAGGCTGTTTCGTTGAATCAAATGACTAATCATAGAATCTATGTAAAAATCGAGTATCTTGAGACAGTTACTTTAGTTATCATCAGTTAATAAATAAACTCTTCAAAGAGTTTATTGCTACTCGCCTCCTAATATTTAACAACACAAAGAATTGTTTTAATGAGCTTGTAGTTCATTTCTCCAATTATAACGTGATATAATTTTATAAGATTTATAATAATCACTGTGATTGTACAGACTTCAAATTACATAGTAATAAATGTAACTGTTTTTACACATTCACTCACTTGTTATCCACTATTCAGACCTCAGATTGTATTAACCCTTCTTGTTTCACACATTGATGTTTTTACTTATAAATAAAATACATTTTTCATTTCTTTTCTTTTACTGTTCTCTATCATATCTACTTGTATGATTAATCACTACTACATTTATTTTGTACTAAAACTCATGCTCATTCGTTATCACTGATAGTGTCGGATAAAGCTGTCTTAAATATGTGTGTATGTGTTTTAAAATAATCATATATGATAAACCGAGTAGGTTCTTTTCATGACAGCAGTTTGTTACTGGTTTACTTACAACCAAATTTTAATCACAGATATTAAAGTTACTTAAGCAAGTTTAATACTTCTGTTAGTATTTTATTTATTTAACGAATCATCATTCGAAGCAATAATCAAATTATATTAAAACAGTTCTTATTGCTGATATTATGCAACTAATTTACTACTAAAATCACTCACGCACTATATGAAGAGATGATATTAAAAATTTCCCATATACTATTAGAATGAAAATAGATACATTAACAAATGCTCCAGTCACCGGGAAGCATCATCTATGAACAAGGAGGATCTGATGCAGACGTAAAGGCGAGGATTGGCAAAGCAACGACAGCATTCCCACAATTAAAGAACATATGGAACTCAAAACAACTGTCAACCAATAGCACAGTCAGAATCTTTATTACGAACATCAAGACAGTCAGTTCTACTGTACGGAGCTGCAACTTGGAGAACTACCACAAACATCAACAAATGGTACAAGTGTTCATAAACAATTGTCTATGCAAGATTACTCCATGTCCGATGACCGGATACCATCAGCAACAGTCTACTATGGGAGAGAACAAACCAGGTTTCAGTTGAAGAGGAACTTAGGAAGAGACGATGGAAGTGGATGGGACATCGAATGAGGAAATGATCAATCTGTATGACGAGGGAAGCTTTAACTTGGAATCCTGAAAGGAAGCGGAAAATAGAAAGGCTAAAAATCACACTCCGTCGGGAAACAGAAGGATGAATTAAAGGATAAATAGCAACTGGAAATGATTGCCCAGGACAGAGTTGTATGGAGAATGCTGGTCAACGGCCTACGTTCCTCCACAAGAGATAACAGGTGTAAGTAAGTAAGTAAGCTCAAGTTACTAAGCAGCTGCAAATTACAGCGTTTTTTCCTTCATTGTTAATAGATCAACAAGAGTTCAATGAAATTAGTCACATATAAGATCAGTTCTAATTTACACAAACATCAAGGATAATATATATATTTTTTATTTCTAAATGCATCCTATTCTACATATTTTTTTAGATATCTTAATAAACAAAATTATAATCATGATGGAGAACAGACTATTTTCATTAATCGTGTTCAACCAACATCAAGTAAGTCATGAGTGTAATTCGAAATTCCAAAAGTTTGAATTATTCGAAATTTCATGTCAATATCTTTAAGGTCTTCACTCTGACAATCTATCAACTAGAATATACGGAATTTATTATTCTTCACATTATTAGTTTAAATAGAAGTTATAACAATCACTTAGTTCAATACAATTTATTCAGGAAAATAGGAAAGACTTAGAAAATTTAGGCTAAAGAATATTTGTGCCAGGCTCTACGTTAACTACAATTAATTAACTGTGTATAATACAAACATAATGCAACAATCTACATCTGAATTGTAAAACTTACAATCTATAAATACACACTAACATTAAGAATAATGATCTTTAACTATATATCTCTAGTGCCCTTGTTTAGTTCTGTTCCTACAATGTTTCTATCGCATAGCGTATTTGTTAAATAGGATATTGTTAAAGTTTTACACTTTTCATGATGTCTATAGATTGTTTTCCTACTGCCAGAGAAAAGATGTGAAAATCTTCGTTACCATTGTCTATAGTTCGTATTCGACAATATAATACTGATTAGTTATATGTATAAGTTTGAATGTATGTTTACAACTATACATTTAAAAATATAACAACAATGGTCAATAGTAATCTTACTAAACGAATTCGAACTCCTCAGCAACAAAGTATAAACTTTCTGTTAAAACTTATAAACAGAATAAGAAGTAACAAAGTAGGTGAACGGATAGCACATAGGAATTTATCATTTACAAACGTAAATATTCAATGATTTAAATTGTATAAGATACGAATGAAATTCGGATATTTTTATTAATTATTATTATATAAAATATTAAAAATGAAAGCTTTTTCATTACCCTATTCTTAGTAATATCAACTATTATCATCATTAAATATGATATCCTAAAATAAAAATTCCAGCTTCATATTTAAAGATAAATAACATGTACCTGTATGTGTATATTCTATAAAATAACTCAAATGAGTAGATTTTATTTAATGAAGTAATCATGACTGAATTATTTGAATAGTTGATGATGATCTAGCTAAAACAGGTTTGTGATTCAAGCTATAGAAATAAGAGTGTAACGTTACTTTCATAGCAGTCAGTACTAGCTCAAGTTTCTTCAGAGCTATCAAAACGTTAATACGATGTATAACTGTGTTACCAAGGAGAAAATCCGAGCAAAATAATAATAGTTCAGGGCATTAGAAGACTAATATAAGTTTAGCTCTACAAGTGTAACTAAAAATGACCCATTATACTCCAGTACCATGGATAGTAGTATCTACGATTTTAAAAACACATAGTCGAGTTTTACTGCCCAAACCAATTCGTTATCGACTTCATAAACAAGCATCTGATTTTTTCCTCCCTAGTCTTAATTTTCTTCCAATTCAATTCCAGTTAATATCGAGAGTTATTTGCTGGATTGTATATGATCTAGTTCACATTGATTAATGTAAGTTCACTACTTTACTCCGTGATCCTATAACTTAGTATTTGACTTCAACCTTTAATACCTATGTCTCAAAGTGAAGGTCATTTCAATTAGTATTAGTGCTTTCATCAAATAACTAAATAACTTTCTGTAAATCAACAATAATTACAAACTACAATGCAAAAAAATAAATTAATTAATAAGAACTAGCCCATAGTTTAGGCAACTTGTTCAGAGTTAAATGTATCAGATTCATACGATTGAACCGATTTCATGGTTAGGTACGTTAAAGCCTATTAAAATGAATATACCACTTTTACACTGTAGATAACGTTGTGAAAAGCTATATTCCGTCAATAAAATAATCTTCAGTGATATTATTCAAATATTGTCACCACATATAAACTTTATTCCCTCCAACGTAATTCCTTTTACATTCAAAGTTGACGTCTACTTGTGTAAATGATCATCAACTACTGTACACCCGGAATTTCATTATCGTGTTCTGTTAATGATTCGCTGGGTTTAACTGATGACTATTTCTTGACTTGTAAGCTGATTCTAAGTTCGTCACGTTATTTTAGCTTGTCTTTAAATAATCCACCTATGTAGTTATCAGGATTTTTCAGAGAACGTCCCAGTTTATGTGTAATGTGTGTATCCAAAAATACGATTGCTTTAAAACATATCTCATAACTCTTTTATTACTGTTCGAAAACTATCTCATCAGGTACTCCAGTTCAAAGTTACCAAGCCAGTAGACTTGGTACACAATCTGTTTATCCAGATCATGTTTCTGTCTCAACTACTCCACAAACAATAACTGCTCCAACAAAAGTTGTCAGTAATTTGAATGTTTTGACAAACACTAGAAAAACGAGTGAACTTACCGAAGTTCCTATGCAAAATGGATGGAAATCTGAGAAAACTAAACAAGATACAGTAGATAGTGGTAATATGGCTCAAGTGATTGCAACTGCACGAGTTTGGTATCAACCTAAATTATCCAGAGAAGAAGGTAAGCAATTGTAATTATAAACAACTATTCTATCTTATCAAGAATGACGAATCATCATTTATATTGCTAGAAATATAAACCACTGGATTTCAACCAAGTGATATAAGTGTTAAGAAATTGTTGCTAAATTTTAAACTCCCGAATGAGACCCTTGATGTAAATAAGCACTAGTATGAAACTTTATAATCAGGCACGTTAGTTGTACAATAATATCACAGCTAATACCGTTCCGTTATCAAAATCACCGAACGATAAATTGTTATTCATAATAATTTGTATTTTATATTCTTCCAAGAAAAAGCAATGAGTCAAATTTCTTTATCCTAAAAACTCACTTTAAAATTAAAAATAACTAAAATCCTGTATATATACACTATTGCGTTGATAATCTATTGTATGTATTAAGTTAATTAAATTACCATTTACTGAATATTAATAGGGTGATAAATGATTAACAGCTCATTTATTTACATAGCAATACAAAAAATCCATCATTCAATCAGAAACTAATAACCAATCGAAATAAATTACATTCAATAATTTACACAACATGACAGAGAATTTAAAAAACGTCACAATAAATAATAAACGTAATAATAATAATAAAATGTTTTGCATAAACTCACTATCAGTATGATATATTTGATTCAATGCCAAAAGTTGTAAACTACACCATGTAAACTCTACATGTAAGTTGATAAAACAACGCAAACAAACAAACAAACGAAAAACAAATATGCATTTTAAAAAAAAAGCTAAAATAATTTCTATGCAAAAATATACAAAATACCTGGAGAATATTGTTGCTAAGTAGTTTTTTCTGATATAGTCAGTATTTCTTCTAAAAATATTTCCTGTATTGATTTTTTTTGTCATGATCTGATTTTGATGTGTACAATATTCAAGAAAATATATTAATAACGTTAATTTGGGTAGTCGTCTTTCTTTGTTTTTTGTTTATAAAAGTTTCAAACAAAACATGAATTTAGTAGAGTTGGTTAACAGCTAAAATTAAAATATAGAACGTGCATTTTGTCCAATTTTTGACTCGTCAGCTGGATGTGCCTGGATTTCTAGTGTTGATGTTCACAGAAAGACTGATCCGGAGCGTTTAGCTTCAAACTCCTAATGAAATAAATACACACTGAATCTAAATAGACATTATTTTATTCATTTTGTGTTTTTTTGAACTAAAGGATAACTAAAAAAGAATTAGGCAACTATAAATATTTCAAATGTGACTAGCAGTTACTTTCATTAACAAACAATGTAATTAGCTGTTATAAGTGATTAGACTATCAATGATCTTACATATATTTCTGTTCTCTGCTTTCCTGACCCTCATCTCATTAAGTGATACACTGTGATTATTCAAAGGTACAAGTCCTAAATGCGTACAAGTTGTCTGATCTATATGTTACTTCTGTCCAAGTCTCAGAGTATCTTTGACTTGACTAACCACTTTAGTTTGTAAAATATATGTTAGAGAGAGTTTGTTAGTCATCATTTCCAAGGGTCCATAATAATCTGGCTTTAGTGTCTAGAAAGCTTTTCATGTATAGTCCATTGATTTCGTCCTACGACTTCAAAAATGCTTGCCATGAGACCTGACACTTTTGGGTTCGATCCCAACGAACTGTTGGATAAGAAGATGGAACGCCTATGAAGTGCTAACTCGTCTTCAATGATTGTGTAGGTAAGGTCAATATACATGAAGTATAATCAGTTTGGCGGAAGTCTTTTAATTAAACTATATTGATAGATTTTCTTCAATGTCTTTCCTCATGTTTCCTGTGGTTTGTTTGTTCCAGTCTTTATACTCCTTTTAAAAATTTGCAAACTGCTTAAAAGATGCTCTTACAATTTAAGATCCTATCACCATCAGTTTTCGTTTGATACATTTCATTCACACACTTTTTTCTATCTTATATTATTCCATATCCGGCTTTTATTTGGATCCTCTATGCTAAGTTTGGTAAGCGGAAAGCATTTCGTACACAATAATATTTTGTATGGAACACTGTCTCTCATAAACTAATTATATTACATTATCATCCTCTTAATTCTTTATTTTTTACTTCTCTATCCACTCATAATTTCTATCAGCTATAAGTATTTTACGTCAACAAGTTCCTGGAAGTTTTCTCATTCGTGATAGTACAACATACAAAGATGCTTTTGGCTTAGCAGTCAAGGTTGCTACACTTCCACCAAAAGTTACACCAAAATCTAGTAAGTATAACTTTCTGTTTTTATTTAAGCATACATTACATGCAAGCACATTTTTTTAAACTATATATCTATCCAATTGTGATGCTTGTTATATTTAATATTTAGAATGATTCGACATATTGATTGTTTGCACAGATATATGTAGCATGTTATTACTGCTCGTGTTATTATTAGTCATATGCCTATTAGTGTCGCTGCTGATATTATCGAAAGTATTCTTAGTAGTACAAAAAATATTATCTTTTTACTGTTATATATACATATATATTTCATTATGAGTAGATATTAGCGCGAAAAACCGTTGAAAACTAAACATCAATAGATAAACATTTTGTTCACATACAAAGCCTAGCCAAAAATGAAACTTATAATAAGCACAATATTTTTTAATCTGATAAACTGACAACTAATTATTCCATATTTTTATATCAATCACTTTATTGTAAAGAGCTATAGACATTCATTAGACATTCTGGGATAGTTCACATTTATTATAGATTTTTAAAAATATTCGTGAATTATTATCTAATGACATAAAACATCACCAAGAGGTTAAAAATCATACGACAACAATCATTACAACAATGAAGAAAATTTTAATTGATGCTTTGGAAAAATGTAGTTTTTCATTTTTTTTCACAGGGAAAAAACTGTTAATTATCGTGATTAATTTTTTTCTTTGTAAACGTTCAAAAAAGTGCCATTACTAAAAGTTTAACTTGAGAATTTCTAATAGATTTGGGCATTCGTTAAATTGTTAATTATAATAACAAATTTGCAAAGTCTTATTTAAATAAGCATGTTACCCCTCGTAGAAGAGCATCAGCATGCTCCATCAAACCCTGTCCTGGATAATCAATTCCAGTTCTTTCTAGTTGCTATTCATTCATTTGATGTCTGCTTTCAATTACCGACACAGTATGTTCCTTGGCATTCTCCTCTTCCATTTCCCTTAGGAATTCCAAATTAGGGCTTCCCTCGTCATACAGATTGATCATTTCCTCATTCGATGTCCCATCCACTTCCATCGTCTCTTCCTAAGTTCCTCTTCAACTGAAACCTGGTTTGTTCTCTCCCATAGTAGACTGTTGCTGATGGTATCCGGTCATCGGACATGGAGTAATCTTGCATAGACAATTGTTTATGAACACTTGTACCATTTGTTGATGTTTGTGGTAGTTCTCCAAGTTGCAGCTCCGTACAGTAGAACTGACTGTCTTGATGTTCGTAATAAAGATTCTGACTGTGCTATTGGTTGACAGTTGTTTTGAGTTCCATATGTTCTTTAATTGTGGGAATGCTGTCGTTGCTTTGCCAATCCTCGCCTTTACGTCTGCATCAGATCCTCCTTGTTCATAGATGATGCTGATCAGGCAAGTAAAAGTTTCCACTTCTCCCAGAGTTTCTCCATCTAGTGTGATTGGTTTGGTTGGTGTTCTCTGTGTTGTATTTGAGGATGTTGGTTTTTTCCTTGTGTATGTTGAGGTCTACTGTTGCAGAGGCTTCTGCTACACTGGCTGTCTTGACCCTCATTTTTTCGTGTGTATGGGATGAAGAGCTAGGTGATCTGCGAAGTCCAAATCGTCTAATTGCATTCAAGCTGTCCATTGTATTTCGTGCTTACCTCTCCGATGTGGAGGTCTCCATAATCCAGTCACCTATTAGAAGAAAGAGAAAGGGAAAGAGTGAACAGTCTTTTCTGACACCGGTCCTCACTTGGAATGCCTGTGCGAGCTGTCCTGCGTGCACGACTTTGCACTGTAGTCCATCGTATATATCCCGGATGATGTTGACAATTTTCTTAGTTACCGACATCACAATGTCGAAGAAGGTTCTCCTGTCCACACTGTCAAACGTCTCATAATCAAGGAAGTTGATGCGTGGTGACGAGTTCCATTCAATTGATTGTTTAACGATGATCCGTAGTGTCACAACTTGGCCTGTGCTTGACCGATCCTTACGGAATCCAACCTGTTTATCTCGAAGCTGGACGTCTATCGAATCTTTTATCCGGTTCAGCAAGATTTTTAAAAACTTTTCATGGTACGGATAGTAGTGTGAGTCCTGTATGGTTTCGACATTTGCTTAGATCTCCTTTCTTTGGTATCTTGTTGAGGTATCCTTTCCAGTCTGTCGGTGGCATTTGCACTTCCTCTTAAATCTTTCTGAATAGAATGTGGGGCATGCTTTCCATTACTTCTATGCCTAATGGCCATCCAAAAGCCTCATCCTAAGCTAGGAATATTCTCTATCATCTCAATTCATTTTGATGATAGCGTTTTTATACGCTGAAAGTGAAACTGTAAACATTATTTCCCGTTAAACTTCAATATTAAATGAAATAAGATAATTCAATCCGAATTAAGCAGCTGTTCATCAAAATTTACGGTATTAAGAATTATATGTTAATGACAACGTAAATAGTGACTATATTTTAAAAAGTATACTTCCTGTAAACAAAAAAATTTACCTGAGACATTGATTTTTACCTGTGAAGGAAAATTCACTATTGTATTTGCTGTCATTTCATATTTTGTATATGAAAAAGGTATTACTGTTTAGCTAATTGTTCTTATTATTGAAATTCTGATTATTTCTTGAATTTATATCTCACGAACGCTTTTAGATGATGTCACTGTTGAATTCGAAAATATAGTTACTTATATTGTCTATTCCTATGCAATCACATGATAAATATATTTCATTTCTAGTCTTTACATTTATTCTATACTTACATGCTAAACACTTAATATTATTACCACTGTTATATATGTTGAGAATCTAACTTAGAAACGATATCTATTTTCTTATCAAGGTGCGCGTATAACGCTCAGTACTTCACCTTTATCACTGTAAAACATGGCCTTTGAAGGTAGAGGACAAGGGTGGGTTACTAGATTTCGACCAGAAATGCCTTCGTAGCGTGATTCACATATGACGGAACCATCGAGTGAATGATGATAAGATTAGGCTTCAAGTACCAATTAAAGGTAGCAAGTTGGATTATAATGCTATGTATCTTTATCTGTGGTGGTTGAGACGCGTCTTGTGTATATCCTGTCAGAACATCCTCTGATTCACAATACTGAACCTGAAAAAATTATGAATAGATATGTCAAGATAATGTCAGTTGATGAAATGTCAGGAGCTGCAAGCTCCTACAACAGCATCATTTCGATAATCATAATGTATAGTTGGACATATCAGATGACTGCTCAAAATGTATTGAAATAGGCTAGATTTATTTGTCCACAATCTTCTAAATCTTGTACCTCGAATAATTCTACATCCTTCATTCATGGATTCGCTCTTTAATTATCGATTTTCTTTATGTCTGTTTCATCATTTTTATTGGACTAATGCACAACTGTGCTGAGCCGTACCAATTTTCAATACAAGAAACATACATCTTACTCTTATTTACATGACTGATTTAAATAATTATTTTTCTATCGCCCATTGGTATGTCTTTTTTCTAAATAGCTCTTTCAAGGTTGACAAATTGTTATTACCCAATAGTCAATTACAATTGATTTATCAGTAAGCCATAATTTACCTTTGTGTTGCGCTGTAATTCCTCTAACTTACTGAGGTGCTTTAAGGCATAGTTTTTCACAATAGACAGTGTCATTATAGCCTGTTTTATCATTGTTTTTCGTTTTATATTTATAGTTGCCTTTTATAAGTTTCTATTCTTACGACTTATCAAATATTTCATTTGTACACATTCTATTGTGCGAATTGTAAGCCTAGTCTTAGTGATAAATTATTCTACGTATTGGGGTGGTTTACGATCATGATAATTGATACAACTTGAGAAAAAATTAGGAATTTATCTCCAGTATTTTTACTAGGATTTATAAAATAGACTTATAAGACAAAATACAATCGTAGTCACAAAGTTGAAGAGTACCTGACATTACTCTACCAACTTTTCAACAAGAAAATTAATCGTCCTTATTTCAAGCTAGGATACCTGTCTGTTGTTTGCATTACAATGTGATATAAGTTGAAAATGAAGAAACTCCTTACAAAAAAACCAGATTGATTTCTTATTACTAGTCTAACTGGTTATTGGGTTTTAATGTCATGTATTCGTATTTCTTATGGATAAACAAATGTTTCTTACTTAAGATTAATTTGTTGTCACTTTCTCGCATACGAACGCTTATCCTCTAGACCACTGAGGCAGCATCCAACAGTGTTAGTGTCTAACTTCAACCAATCCACGATATTGAGCTACCGTTTACCATTGTCTTCAGTGAGTAACTGCCTCACAACAAACACGGTTGAACTGTACTGGTCACTAATTCTCACTAGAACTCTAGGGAATCTATCTTGAAGCTAGTCACTAATATCGATCCATTCATGATATCAATCTGAACCTAATATATTATCATAGCGTTATCTATAATTTTGCTGAAATTTCTCACCTTTCAATCTATCAAATGTTTTGACTTCTTTTTAATTGTACAATGTATTCATTCAAAGTGAAGTACTGTTAGTAGTAGTAGTAGTATGTGATCCTTTTCTTCGTTTATTCATAATTTCTTCATTTCTTTTTGTAGGTTTTACCAAATTTGTCAGAAGCATTTTCAGTAAGAAAAATAAAACCAATTAAGATGATAAAGTTTTTTTCCCTTAGCATTTTCCTTTTTTTAAAACCTCCAATTATTATCATTGTTATTATTACTATTACTAGTATTATTCGAAATCTTTCCTATGACTAACTTCGCACGTTTTAAGGAAGATCTTTAGCACTACGCCTGTCATTGTTCTCGTTATTGTTGATATGATTGTTGATAATCATGATGTTGATGATGACAATGTTGTTTCTTTATATTTGTTGTTGTTGTCTGAATTCATAAAATCACTACTGTTATCGAGCACTTTCACTTCGAGAATATTTATCTGTCAGTTATTGTATACAATAATCACATTATTCTTAAATAGTTAAGTGCATTATTTTTTATGTCTAAAACAGTAGAACATATGTCTATATACTTACATCTGCACGAAATATAATAAAATTAATTCACATTATTACACTATGTATTAGCTACTATCTTGATTTATTTCCAAATGTCTATAATTCATCTTTAATCTTTGTGCAATTTACTTATAGTTCATATGAGGACATACTATTTTATTCTATTGACTTTAATGAAATATCTACTGGCTATATGGTTTTTCAATGACTACTATTCAAGATTTTTTAATACATTTACGTGAAATCTAAATTACAATTAGTTATTTCACGTGAAAAGTACAATATTTAGAAATGTCTTGAAGTATTCTCTGAAACTGTTCCATCTTCTTTTAATCAGTTACAATAGATTATATGACATATTTTAAGGTGAATAACTGTTTGATTTATGTTTAAACAACCTATTTTTGTCCTAGAAATTCAATACACTGTACACAGTGTTATCATCCATGTCTTGTTCTGATTAAAATTTATCCTCTATAAGTGTATGTTTATTAGTTTAATATACTTAAAAACACTAAAATAACTTAAATTAAATAGAATAGTAATGATTAATTTCAAGTAATAAATCCATATTTTCCATCGCATGATGTTTATTGTTTATTATAATTACAAACATTTTGCCTGTTCATAAAGATCCCCATGTGTAAAATAACATCACTATAATTGAACGTGCATTAGAAATATCATTCGAATTAATTTTTTTGCTTAACGACAGTTTTGACTATCATTGTTTTAAAAGTTCCCGCTGAAATATTTATTGATCTATGAAAATTTCAAACAATTACTCATATTTATTTTATTATGCTTCATATCAATGCAGCAATATATCAGCTACTATTGTCACATTGTAATTATTCACACACACACACACTTCATTATGCATAAATTAATTTTGCATGTAGTAACTTTTTTTCTATTACAAACCCCTTAAAACGTACTTTACACTACACTATTCTTGCCAAAAAACATATTTTTTTCTAATGGTTAGTTTGTTATATTCAAAACAATTTATACCTTAAATATAGTAGAATACTATTCACAGCATGCTTTACTTTCCACCCAAGGTTGATTATGCAATTTAAAAGGCATGCCAAACTTATTTGTTATTTTAATTTAAATAATAAATGTTATTTTCGAGTTTTGTTGAGGAAGTAAACAGTAACCTGACATACATATATATAAATATGGAAGTATATATATAAAGTGATATTTACTGCCAAAATACATTATAAATATCTTTTTTATTCGTACTAGTCTAATTTCTGTACGAACTGAATTCACAAATGAGAGAGCTAACGATGTAATCAATCATTAAGATAATGTAAAAGCAGATTTGTAAACGAAATGGCGTGAAAATCACTTCATATTACAGTGTTTGTAGTTATTGTTTTACAAAACTTGGTCATTAGAGCTGTTTTTTACGAAATAGTTATAACATTTTTTCAGTAAAATAAAATATTCAGTTTGTCAACGTAGTATTTCAGGGTGTTAGTTGTAATAGTTAGAAATTTTCTATTGATATTACTCTAGATTGAATCTGATCGGTCTCTACTGTCATGTAATCCCTTTGAACAGATACCTTGACATTGTATTTAGCTGCAAACTGACTAACAGTTGAATCGAGGACATTTATCTAGTTTTATTCCTGACATTAGTATTGTGTTGAACGTACATTTAGTCAACGAATGTCAGATGGGGCGAAACTTGGAATCTGAATTTATCTATTAGACACTACCTAAATTATAATACCATTCTATGATAAGCAAAATCACATTCGATCGTTTTACTTACTGCATCTTGTATCTGTTTAAATTTACATTCTTTTACTAAACAATATATAAATCTGGTCCTGGAAGTTAACGTATCTTGCTACTGTATCTGAACAAATAGAAATCATAGATTTAAAGCATTAACCTAATTATATTCAACCGTTCGAAGCATTATTTTTGTTTTTAGTATGTAAGTCTTAGCAGTCCTTTTTTACTAAACCAGCATAAGATACATTCTATTTCGGGAATTCAAATGATCTTAAGGAATGGGATCACTTCATGATATAATGATATTTTGTTGTTTACATTTACAGACATCAAATTTTTCAATGTGATATTTTCTTACTCTGCTTTCAAATGAGTGGAAATTAAGTCACATTGATTACTTTTTTGATGATATATAGAAAATCTCTTGGTAACTTACTGCTAAACAACTCCAGATACTTCTTTCATGTTTAACAATTAGTTAAGGTCGTAAATGATTCCTTAATATTCATTTGTACCATATGTCCTTTCAGTAAGCAAAAAGAGGGTTATTCTGAGCCTGGTATGTATGAATTTCGATAACAATATCTTCTTCGTATACTGTACAGTCAGTTGCATTTAATTTGTAAATTCCAATGATACAGTACAATTTCAAACTTACAAATAAAAGTGAAGTACTCAATCTGCGCAAATGCATAAAAATCCCACAATTCTAACTGGTTGCTTGACAAAATATGATGTATGTTGTACACGTAAAGTAGATAAACACTTTTTTCATACAACAAACTCTGCAGCTGAATGTACTAGTATCTTAGTATTTACATGGTCCAGGACTCTACACTTCAAACTCTGTAAGGTCTTCATTGTCTTCGTAGTACACTTCTAATATGCGCGTGTGTCACTACCAGGTGTAATTCTGTAAGAATGCTTGAATTGCTTATTTGAATCCATCAACAATTGATGAACTGATGTACTTATTCAAATGCTGCTTACAATATAAAACATTCAATAGTATCACACTGTAATATTTTATGAGATGATCCTTTTGGATACAAGTCAAGTAAATGACTGTTTAGTGAATTCAAAATGTAGTTTGGAAAGATTACTTATTTCTTGTTGTTTGTACAAGATTTTCTTAACGTTTTACATTCTACTCTGAGCATATTTCGGTTAGACAGTTGAATGTAGTTACGTTTAGTTATCTAAACCAAATACTGGAGAATGTATTTCAATCATGTTGTTATTTATTAGATTCAAGTAATTTCTGCATATTATATCTCAATCACTATCAAAATTCTTCGGTTTTAATTTTTATTCTACTCTTTTTACTTAAATTATTTATTTTATAGATGATCTTCAATCTGAACTAGTTAGACATTATTTGATAGAAGCGGTTAATACACCTACTAAAGGTGTACGCCTTAAAGGTTTTGCAAGTGAACCAGTATTTCCAAGTTTAGCTGCTCTAATCAACCGACACACACAAGATGCTTTAGCATTACCTTGTCGATTAATTCTCCCAGCCATTCCAACTACACCGTTACCACATGGATATAAGCCTCCACCACAAATTGTAACTGGCTTACCATCGAATACTATGGATACAACAATAAGTAATCATATTTCACAATCAAATAATCAATATATTCCGAAAGTTGACAGTGCTACTGGGCCAGTTTCAGAATTAGGCTCTGTTATAATGGATAATGTGGAAATTGATTGTACAAAATCAGTTACCAATACTTCTACAATGGGTATAGAAGGTCTGCCATTCGAATGTGTAGTTAAAGATGAACATCATAAACCAGTGATGTCACAAAGTCTGCTTAATCAGGGCATGAGTAAGTTTTAACTTTCAATGTGATAATATTTTATTGAATGCTCTAGTTTAAATTTGACTCAGTGCATTTGATTTCTAAAGAATTGGATATGTTTATCAAGAATTATGATTATAGATTCAAGGAAACTGTTTCATAAAAAATACTTGACTTACTGACCTTAGAATTGCTAGCTCAGTAGTTATAAGCATTCGAATAACGTTACTTAACTAACGAGTGGTTTTCAGAGAGTATGGATGCAGCTTACATATTGTTTAAACAATCCACACAGATGTGCAGTTCCTTGATGTACTATGGTAGTTTGATTAGAATCACAACAAAAGGTATCCATGTACTATGTGATGGGAATATGCAAAGCTTTTAATTGTGTAAAACTACACACTATTTGAGTGGTATTTGTAATGAAGGGATAGCTTTATCCATGTATAGTTCTTAATAAGGTAACATTGGAATCCATGCTTAGTTTGATTTTTAACCATCTGGTCGTTTATTTTAACACTTTATTTATTGCGCCTTATCTCATTAGCTTCCATATTCTAGTGCGTAATTTCCTCATTCCTGATCCACTTACTGTATTACCTTGGTATCTCCAATGATTTCTTCTAAATTATCAAATTGTGAAAAGATCAAGGTTATTTAACCAATTTATCCGTATCTTTTATTCTTTTACGTATTTCAGCATATAGATGTTTCATGTTAGGATCAGTAGATACTCCACAGTGGAATAATGAACTATGTTTCTCAAGAGCAGTTGATCAATTAATTCCATTGGAAACTTTAACAGCATCTGAGTGTGATCATGGTATTAGTCGTGTTCGATATTCAGATATTCAATTACATGTTAGCGCACACGATGGAATTACAATTATAGATTTACTAAGACGGTTATTCCTTCGACGCCATCTTCCCAATAATATATTATTGTATTGTGGTGTAGAAACTCGAAAAAAAGAGTAAGCATATTTCCTTAACAAAACATTCTGATTAAAATATATGAATAATGGATTAATAATGATATACAAATGCTCCAACATTTATAAATATATAGTAAAATTGAGTTGTGATTAAAACAAAAGAATAATATCATTTTATCATACTTGTGTACTTGGCTTCAAGTTAAAATGTTTGTGAGAGAGTTGCTAATACTACTGGAGTGCTGAAAATAAATTAAGTGATCCAAAAGTTAAACCTGAAACCCAATGATTAAAACACTAAGATGCAGGTTTAAACTACATATTAATTATTTTAATTTGATTATCCACTTTATTTTACTATCTATCTCTCACACATACAAAAAAATGTGACACAAAGCCGAGTACAAGAGTTTGTTCTAAGTTGTTAAATGTTGTTATTAAAATCTAATAATCACAATATATTATTGATGGTAACTAACATCCAACGGTGTTAACGTCTAACTTCAATCAATCCATGAAATTGAACGACACATCCACCATTGTTTTCAGTGCGTTACTATCTCATAACAGAAGCGGTTGAACTCAGTGGCCTAGATGTTAGGCACTCGCCCAATAGGTCCCAGGTTCGAATCTCACGAGGCGGGATCGTGGATGCGCACTGCTGAAGAGTCCCAAAATAGGACGAAACGGCCATCTAGTGCTTCCAGGTTTCCCATGGTGGTCCAGTTTCAATTGACTCATGATCTCAACTATTAGAATTACTATGATATCCACAAAACCCATTCTGTACATTATGTTCTTAAAAATATAAAAATTTCTGTCCAGAAATAAGATGACCATGTTGTGATTCCATTACACTATTAAGATTAAAAGAAAGGATTATACAGAGTGATTTTAATTAAGGAAAAACCTTAACAAGCTTGAAATGCTTACATTTCGATCACCCTTTTCTTCAAATATTTATAAAAAATTTAAATACAGAAATTAGATAATCTACCTGTCAAACTAAGCAGAGAAATATCAGTCAAATTTATTTTGTATTGTTTACTTGAACCATTGCATAAGCAAGTGGCTATCAGTAGCTATGTGGATAACGCGAACGGTACTGGGTTCATAGTCCCAGAGTGAACATCGACCCTAAGATGCAGGTACATCCAGCTGACGAGTCCCGAATGGGGAGAAACGCGCGTCCTGGATTCCACTTCTAGCCACTATATATCCGTTTTTGCTTAGATATTAGTCATTTCGTCTATTATTTTTAATGTTATAATACAGTAAACAGTGACTTTGGTTCGTCTACATTGGATTACAAATAAACTAATAGTTTTGAAGATGTAGAAATTTGTTCATGATGACTACTAATAAGCATAAAATATTAAAATTTTCGAATTCCTTCTAATTGATAAAATGTATACAAACTAAACTATTTCTAACCCTTAGCTATTATCTTTTAATAACTGAACATTACATATGTAATGCTCTTGTAAATTACAAAATTATCAATCAGACTTTTTTTCATTTTTAACCAATCCATGAAAATGTATTATACCCAGTGTTAATGAATTATCATAACACTTGATGATGTAAGCTGTGAAAATATTTCAAAAAAAAATCCGAACTGTTAATCTTCACTTAGATACTCATCACTAATAACTAACTTATAGAAATATTCCATATACCTAAATTAATGGTTGCTCTGGTTGTCATGAGGGGCGACAGTCTGGTGACTTCCGAAGGAACTCGGATTTTATCATGAGACGTCATAACTCTTCTAAATGATGAAAACCTTCTAACTCCAAAGGCAGAGTTTTAATGGTTTGGATTATATTTTTCTGGTAAGTTAGTTTTCTGCGGAATAGGGTCATTAACCCTATATCCAACCCTCGTCCTTTATCTGGGCAGGAGACCGGCAGTAGCCCCAGAGAGGCTCCAGGCGGAATTTTATAGAAATATATATATATAATTATTTGTATTATTGATTCTGCACAAAATAAAGTCGTTTTTTTTTTGAAAAAATCAACTTTAGATTTATTCATCCCGAACATCAAAATCATGGTATACGGAATCCTAAGTGAGTTCATTGTTTTTATTTTTTTTATTTTTTTAAATAAAAAAAAGAAATATACAACTCTCACTTCTATATGTTCGTATACGTGTATTTGTGTAAAATGATCTAAACATAAGAACCGCTTCAGTTATTACTTGTTCATAAAATAATAGATGCTTCAATGTTAGAAGATCAAATATAAGATAAATTTGATATTGCAGAGATTCAAGTTATTTTAAATACACATACACACACACACAAAATGTTACCATTTAGTAGTTGTCAATTAGTTACTAGTTTTACAATGGATATTAATCTATGAGAGAAGAAACATCAATTAAATCCCTGAAATTATTGATTAAATTTCATGTAAATACATTTAATTGATCTTGTGATAAGTAAATAGGGTTATCAGATACTATTTTTTTAGTATTTATAACTCTGATTTCAATTAGTTTAATTCTTATGATCATATTTTATGTCTTGTGAGATATTGACTACAATTCACTTAAAAAACTTTGATTCATTTACATAATAATATTATTACTACTACTATTACTAATTATAATAACAATAACAATAATAATAATAATAGTTATTATTATTATTATTGATCGATCAATAATAATTCATTAATATTTATTTGCTTATCTCAGCAACAAAAAATTAACATAAATCTAATCAATAAATGTTTATAGAGATGAAACATTTGAAATAAGTCATTCGGTTGATACATTGACCTAGTTAATCAGAATTATGTAATATATATATATATATATATATATATATATATATATATATATAATGAGGAAAATAACAAACTATTCACATTTATGTTTTAATGACCTTTTTTAACTTATAGAATCTTTGGATTAGTTGTTCGTAAAGGAATTAGTGAATGTACATGTCATATATTTTCTGAATGTGATCCAGTTCATTCAGCTGAATCTATTGTGAATTATATACGAACTATATATCCTCATTTAAAGAGTTAATTTTAAAATTAAAAATAAAAATCATGAATTAGAATAACTATATATTAAAATATTAATATTAATATTATTCTATATTAATGAAAGATATTTCCATATTATTACTGATACAACTATAAAGTATTTCTAGACTTGGATACTTTTGTTCACTTTTCTTTTTCTTTGTTAAGATAAATTTTTTGTTTTGTTTTTGTCAAATTATTGAAAAAATATCTTCAAAATCTTTTTTTTTTCTAGTTTATTTCTTATGAGGTATTCTTCATCAATGCATGCATTGTTAATTTGTTCTCCTTCTTCACCTTTTGTGTTTTGTTTTACTTCCCATTTAATTCCTTTGAAAATTTATCTTTATCTAACCTAATTTTTAAAAAAATGAAATCCATACTAATTCATGATTGAACATATACCAGAATTATCCTTTCTTCATAATTTATATATTTAAGCGTATATTGATCATATTATCTTTAACATTATGTAAGATAAGTTCATTTATTATGCGCCAATCATTATTCGTAGTATTCTATATCAGACCCATTTATCATTAAATAACAATATTGAACATTTCTTTTTTTTTGTCTTATTTAATAGACAGTTATATTACTTTTTTGAATATTTTTTTTTCGTATTTCTTATAAATTTCTTATTTGTTTAAGATTAAAGAAAATCTTTATGAATTTCTTTTTCTTAAACAATAACAATTTTCAATTCTCTTCAGTTTTTTTTTTGGTTACTTTTTGATTTTTCACTAGATTTCAAATAATCCCCCTCTCATCCTTTTCTTTCGATTTGATTGATTATCGTTACTGTTAATTTCTTTTTTTTTTCTTTTTTGAAAAATTTTATTTCTTATTTATTTTGCGAATTTCGACAGTTTTTCCTGTTGTGCAATGAATATTTACGGCTATTCGTATTCATGTTTTCTTAAAGTTTTTTTTTCTTGTCTTGAAATAAATAAATATTATTTCAATAAATCATGTATTCAAGACCATTTTTAATAAGAAGCTGATAGTATTGCAGTCAAAATAGATATATCTTCATGTATGCTCATATGTATACATTTTATGTTGAAAAAATACACAAAAATATCCGCTCTCTTTAATTGAATTCATGTACGTATTTATAATTTGTATAAATATGTACGTTTACATAAAAGTGTTATGTAATATTTTCTGGGCTTCAAACGTTTATCTTATTCGTTCTTGTTACTTATGAGTAGTATAAATTTTAATATTAAACAAAATACATGCTTCAGTTAGCATTAGGGATTGGTCTTGAAATTCCTATGAAATCAGTTATATATGTTTGTTTATGCAGCTCTAAATTCTTTCATTTAGATAAGACACAGCTAGGTAAAAGGTTTAACAAATGAATTCCAGTTTATTCATCATATATTTATCTTTATATAACTTACAGTCGAAATTTTTTAAGCCAGCAGTGGAATTCAGGACGCGCGTTTCCTCCTATTTGGGACTCGTCAGCTGGATGTACCGGCATCCCAAGATGTATGTTTGCCGACATGAGACTGGTCAATTGCATTCTTAAATAACAATTAGAAGATACAAGTAAAACAACACTAAGTGAATTTACAGTCGAAATGTTTCAAGATTTTTCTCCATACTGATTTTGTGAACATCCCGAATTGTCTAATCTAGTTGGAGAAAAGAATTATTGTTGAATATCAGATAAAAGTTAGTTAGTCTTAATAACTGTAGACTCAAATACTAACTTCATAACAATGAAAGTTTGAGTTAAATTATATACGAAATTCTCGGGTAATATTAGATAAATATACCCTATTTTCTACTGTTAAAATACCATGGATGCTAAATTATAGAGTGAGATGAAGAAAGAAATATGTAAAAGTTAGATATTTGGTGTTCAGTGAATTGTATCTTCTTAGGTTTAAGGTGCACTTATCATCTAGTTCGTCTGGTGATATTTTTCTTCTATCTTTTATAAATCAAAGTAACAGTTAACTATGAATGTGTTACCCATACACCAAAATATAAAACTTAAACTACACCATTGTGTAATATATGGTTTTTATGACTACATGTTGTTATAACGGCTGGATTTTCTTCATCTCTACGAATGGGACGTTAATTCGCCTTAGACGAATATCTACACTAGATTCCCTCCCAGTGTCTATTCTACAGGACTTCAACACAACTCAGATCAAGAACACACGATTAGCCTGACTAGAACGTAAATATATTCCCACACCAAAACCCGACAACAATCTAAAACTGTCCATGATATGAATAAGGACAGGAGAATATATAACTCATCTAAAGCCTGTCAGACTATCTACAAATGTGACTAAGCAAACAACCAATCATTATCATCCTCGCCTATACATCACATATGTTGTGATTCAAAGTATTACAAATTATATTCCTAACTACTCATTTGGCTTCTACCTAGCTGTTCTAATAGGAGGTTTAGATAGATGTGAATAAATAAAACACAGATTAACAAAACCTTTGAATTGACTGAAATTGCTCTAAACTGTAATAACAAGGTTGCTTTATAGAAACACATACAATTCAAATGCCTTTATTATTGTTGTTTTTGGTCTTACGGTTACGTTTCTGATTATTTCACTTAAATCAAGCATGTCTATAACCAATCATAATTATTCCTTTAAGTTACTTAACGTATAGTAATAACTGTTTACAGTTCTTCACACATCTGCACGACCAAGCTTAATTTTCAAACATTAAGTCTGTTAATATTATCCAAAAGGATTTTTGGGACTTCTAACACCTACATCACTATTTAAGTAGTTATATAGATTGTGTTAATTTACTATACGTACGGTGAATAGATTTTGTGGAGCTTGGTCCATTTGATAGTTAACATCATAGACAACCATTGAGAAATTGCTAAAGAATCCTATACTGGGACAAAACGGCCATCCATTGCTTCTAGGTTTTCAATGGTGGTCTAACATTAATCGGTTCAATATCTCAAATGAAACTCAACAATCTCCACAACCTTATACTGATAATTTTACTGGTATTTGAATATCTAGTGGAGGGTGAATGAATTAAACATCAATGCACCTGCTGTTCAGACTAAATTACAATTACTCCGGGTTCAGTTGAAGCCTACGAGATAGAGTCTTGGTTTACAAAAGTAAATTAATTCACAATTTTAAGCAACAAATCATTAAGCTCTTTTTTGCATTAACGACTCAATCAGTCACTCTTAAAATTTGGAATGATCATATGAATTTCCTGATATTATTTGAAATGATAAATATCGAGAGTATTACTGCCTTTATATTCGACTAACGACTGTTAAACAGAAAGAAATATCCATTCGAAAATGCAAGTTATAATCGTCGTCAGAGTATTTGGTTTTTGTCTTTAGAGATTATCTCAATTTACTCAATCCTTACTAGTTCATAGTTAAATTCGAACATCGTTTTTATGTTCATTTGTTTAAACTCAGAGAGAGAGAGAGAGAGAGTAACTTTTATTACTCATTTTCATCTGTTTATTAATTAATTCCTTGTAAGATGAAACTTATCTAGAGTGATAAACCGAAGAATACTAGACTCGATTCGTACAAACAAATAAGGTCAGATTAGGTCATGTTTGTTTTGAACTAGTCAAGCTGTTTGTCTTATTTGTCAATGATAATAATAATAATAATAATAATAATAATAATATACGGTACTTAGTCTTAATTGACCTTAAGTTAGCAGCGAAGAAACAAAATACATTTTCTTATCGAATACAACCTTCCACCAGTAGTGAGGTAACACGAAAGCAACTGAATGATGTTTATTTTAGTGATTTAAGTTTTATGTGGGTTTTATGGTTTCATTTTAAAACCAGACTCCACACTATAATTTGATCAACAGAATACAATCGAGATTAAAGACTAGATACATATGATATCGATCAATACTCTGATCGCTCGGTTGTAAATATCTCATTCTTACAAATCAGTAGACCTAGGTGCCTCGGGTTTGATTCCTACAGTATCAATCCCTCCAAGATTACAGGTAAATCTTGCTGACTAATGCTAATCAGCAGGAAACCTAGACCGAATTTCTCGCTGGCTACATTCAATCACTCCTCATTTGTTACTTCACATTTTTCATACTCGTCAGGCACTGATTATATTCGAAAGTTGGCTATAATACTTATCTTATCTGATTAAACTGATAATCAAATTGCTGAGTGGTAGTTTAGTTGATAAACACATACTGTTTGTAGAAGATAGCTAATTTATCTAGTAGAATATGTATTTAAAACTAGTATATAAATTTATTCAGTAAAAAAAAACAGTATTCCGAGTGCGGATAGTGTATTGTACTTGAGTTAAATTAAACGATGTCAGACATTCAAATTCTTGTCGAAGAAGCAGGGTTCGAATCCCGCGAGCGGGATCGTGGATGCGCACTGCTGAGGAGTCCCACAATTGGACGAAACGGCCGTCCAGTGCGTCCAGGTTTTCAATGGTGGTCTAACATCAATCGGTTCATGATCTCAATTAAAAGAAGCGGGCGTTATTTAAATGTAATAACCCCCATGAAACTGTAACCACTTGTTTATTATTTTGAATAACCAAGATATTGATTTTAAACAAAGTCGATACATTTGTACATTGAGTAGACGATCAATTTAATTTGGTCAAAGTTAATAAAGTTACCTTTAAAATTTCGTTCAATATTCATTTAAACAATTAAATACAAATTAATGAGTTACTCTAGTATGAAGGCAAAAAGTTGACAAATAATTTTAGTTGATATTAGAATTAGTTAAAAAAAACCACATGGTTACATCCAGGAAACAGCTCGTGAATCAGCGAATTTTATTTGACAGAATTAGACTGAGATTTCTAAGAACCGATAAATTATTATGTTTGGTTAACAAATCTTCACACATTATTCTGTTTAAGGTCATTTCAACTAAAAGTTAAACAAAAAAACTTCCTACAAATATGACAGATCGTTTGAAACATTTTTCTCGCACTGTCAGATATACTACAATAATAAGACTAGTTACGTTATATCACATCCAGGATTCACAACCCAAAATAGAGAACCAGATTAAAACTAGGTAATACTTTATTCAACACAATTACAATTAGTCAGTCTCAGTAAGTCTGAACTAGGAATCAATGACAGGAAGGGAAATCATATATTTAGTAGTCAATAGGCTAAATGCTTGTTTGTTCAGGCTCAACGAACAATCATATTTCACTTTTACTACATCTACGTGATCCAACATTTTACACAAAAGCCATAAAATCCTTCAGAACAACCGTCTCATTTCTCGACTATGTTGATCATTATAAAATTTCAAATAAAACCATAAAAATGTATGAATATTATCATCTCTCTCATTTCCTGTAAACGTAATAAATAATTTGACCAGTGACAATTATGAGTATCCGTTTTCTATCTTATCCCCAGCAAATAATGTTAATAATAACTGATCAAAATCTCTAAGAATAAAAAATGCCAGCCACTTGTGTGAAATTTCAAATTCATCACCTCCCTTTGTATTTTCTGCTGAAGGTGACAGTAACTGTAATAACTGATTCAAAGTACTCCCCATTATCGATAATTTTACAGGTAGCGACAAATGTCAGGTCTTTTGTAGTGAAGATCGATGAAGTTGCAATGTCGCCACTAGCCTAGGTGACTCGACATTGCGGTTATTTATTTACTCCGGAGAAGTGGCTTACATTAAGGCACTAAATGTCAGAAATACAATTTTCTGCTGATTGGGATATAACAAAAAATAAATTAATTATTACCCTTCTACCCAATTCTCAGTTTATTCGAATCTATCAAGTCCAACCTTGGCATTGATACCTACGTTAGTAATTATCGTTTTATTCATTGTAAAATGTGAAGCTCCTAAACAGAAAGCGTCCATGTGTTTACGGAGGGTTGAACCTAAAATTTTCGTTCTCGTGATGATCACTTAATCTTTGAACCAACTAGTCAACATTCGATGGTTTACGCATATGACCTCAATCAATTCACAATCCTGAGCAACTATCTTCTATCTCCTTGCCAACGTGATAACACTGAGATATGTTATAAATGTAGCTTAATTAATGATGACTGTGGTTATCTACACCACTTTTATAGTCGATTTGGTTTAAGAAATCTAGGAAATAGTGACTCTATAGAAGAACGCACTCCTTATAACAGGTCTCTCGGTTCGCGTGATACAGTTCAGCCTATGCGTCAATATCCTATGACCAGATTTACTGCAAATTTAACGTTTGTATTTATTCCATTAAACAAAGTCAAAGTAATTTC